TTTGTTGGATGATGAATGGTTAGATGATGATTGGTTGATTGATGGTTTCATGGTTGATGGATATGGGTGATAGATGACGGTTGGTTGGTTGATAGTTGCATGAAAGTTGGATGGATGAATGGCTGGTTGGATGGTGGTTGGTTGGTTAATAGTTTGTTGATGGAGGATGGATGAATGATGGTTGGTTGGATGGGTGATGGTTAGTTGATAGTTGGTTAATGGTTGGTTGGACGGTTGATGACTGGTTGAATGATGCAGTGTTGGTTGGATGGTGGTTGATGGTTTGATGATAAATGGTTGGAAGATGGTTAGATAATGTTGATTGTTGGATGATGGTTGGATGATGTTGGATGATTGTATGATGTTTGATGGTAGGATGATTGTTGGACGATGGCTGATGATTGGATGATGGGTGGTTAAAAGTTGGATGATGATTGATGGTTGGATGATGGATGGGTGGTTGGATGGTTGATTGTATAGTTGGTTGGATGATGGATGAACGGTTGTTTGGATCTTGTCTCAGTCTTACATGAACTCTGATCCTGGTCTTGTTGGGTCTTTTCTGAACTCAGGGGTCTTGGACGAGGACCTGGGGTCCACAGAGACCTGTCAGTGGGAGGAGGTGATGTCCCCATTGGCCCAGCGGGTCAGAACCCTGAAGAAGCAGCTCACCATGGAGACCAAAGTCAAGCAGGGAGCCGAGAACATGATTCAGACATACACCAATGGATCAGTGAAGGTAAAACTACAAAACTGTCCCCCGTCCCAGACGGGGACAGAAGATGGTTCGGTCCTGAAGTTCTACTTCCTGTTTAGGACAGGAAGATGCTGGCGGCAGCACAGCAGATGCTGCAGGACAGCCGCACCAAGATGGAGCTACTGAGGATGCAGATCATCAAAGTCAGCCAGGCCAGAGGCGGAGATGGGTCCATCGGTAGGTCCATGTGTCCTCCACCACAGGGTTCAGAGAGGACATTTTTCTGTCTCAAGGACACTCGAGTTTTATCAGATGATTAATAAGTTATAACAGCTGGCGAAGGTTAGAACATCCTGATGATGGACCAAACCTTTCTGACCTGTGGTCTGACGTGTCTCGTGTCCTCAGGACATCCTGTGGACATCATCAGTCCTCTGGAGCTGCGAGTGGCTGAACTCATGCACCGCACGAAGATTGAGGCGGCGGTAGCCGAAGGAGCCAAGAACGTGGTGAGACAGCTGAGCGACCGGAGGATCCAGGAACGCCGAGTTCTGTCAGAGGTGACAGTTCTGAATGAACTTTATTGTGAAAGGACAACAAATCTGATTGAAGTGCTCCTGTGGTGTCCTTCAGAATAAAACCCAGTCTGGGTCCTAACGGGTCTCGTTGTTCAGGCTCAGGCTCGGATGCAGGAGTCCTCCCAGAAACTGGATCTGTTGCGGTTCTCTCTGGAGAGACGTCTGAACGAGCTTCCTCCGGACCACCCGACCCGTTCTTCCGTCAGAGAGGTTTTGGTTTCAGGGGTCTCTCCGACCTTCGACACCCTGAAACAATGGTCCAGGTCCCTGACATCTTCGTCCTCCTCTTCCTCCGTCTTCAGACCCGCCAGTCTCACAGGTCCGGTCCAAAACCTTTAACTTGTTTTTAACTCAACCTTTAGATTGTTGACACCCAATCCTTTGGTCCATCCTCAGGCCAGCTGGAGGTTTGTTTGATGGGCTGTCAGAACCTGCTAGAGTCCATCCCGGGTCGGACTCGGGTCGGCGGTGTCCTGTCTTCCTCTGGGATCTACTCCGATGGAAAATCTCTGAAGCTGAGATCTTCAGGACGAAGTGCGAATGGCAAAACAAACAAATCAGATGACCTGTCCAGTAAGACGCCTTCCAGCCTTCAGCCCATTGTGTTGTTTATTATTATTATTGTTATTGTTGTTATTATCTTTTCAGCAAATGATCAGATGTAGAGCTTCAGGTTGGTTTTGGAACATCTGAGCTCAGAACTTGCAAACAAATGAAACTAAAACCTGAAGCCATTAATCCTATTTAGAACTCTGAGGTCGGACGATGAAGCAGAACCCTTATCATCTGTTCTCTGGTGTTTCAGCTGAGGTCAGCGCTGTGCTGAAGGTGGACAACAGGGTCGTTGGACGGACTCACTGGAGACAGACAGGGAAAGAAGCCTGGGGTCAGAACTTCAGCATCGAACTGGAGCGGGTCCGTCCGTTTGACTTCATCCGTCTTCAGGAGGGATTTGAAAGTGGCATTGTTCTAAAGACCATTTTAAATTTAGACTTAAAATGCTTTTCTTAGAACTAAACATTCTACAGCCAGTCCTCTGAGGTCCACGGCCAAGCCTTGGTGGCCCACATGGTTCTGTAGCAGATACAGTCCTAGTGGTTGCACCTCCAGATAGATGATCATGAAACTAAAAGACTTTGATATTTTCTGTTTATGAAATTGACACTAACAAGTAAAAACTGAGTCAGATCGTCGAAAGCTGAGGTCTGTCGCTGATCCTGAATGTGATGAGACTCTTAAAGGTTGAATCGGTACCTGTATGTAAATATTTGGTTTGTGTTTAAGTCGAGGGAGCTGGAAATATCCGTGTTCTGGAGGGACTGGCGGGCTCTCAGCGGAGTCAAGTTCCTGCGGCTGGAGGACTTCCTGGACAACCAGAAACACGGGATGTGTTTGGAGCTGGAGCCTCAGGGGATCCTCTTCATTGAGGTTTTTATCTTGAATCATCAGACTGATCAGATTATCTCAGATTATTAACTCTTCTCACAGATTGTCTGCCAAATTGGGACCCATGGAACATACACTGCCTGGCCCAAAAAAAGTCTCCACCTGGATTTAACTCATCAAACAGGTCCGAGCCTCCTGTTGGAGAATTACTGCATGGGTGATCATGTTTCAGCTGCAACAAGTTCTTTAACTCCAACTGGTGCAATGAGTTGCTTCTCATTTCTTCAACAACATGATGAAAGACTCATGACGTGGTCGTGGAAAAGATGTCGGCCTGTTTGAGAAGGGTCAAATCATTGGCATCAAGCAGAGGAAACATCTCAGGAGATTGTAGAAACTAAAACTGGGTTAAGAACTGTCCAACACATTATTAAAAACTGGGAGGACAGTGGGGACCCATCGTCTTCCAGGAAGAAATGTGGCCGGAAAAAACTCCTGAATGATCGTGATCGGTGATCATTTAAACGTTTGGTGAAATTAAATGGAAGGAGAACACCAGCAGCACTCAGGGCTGTGGTTCATAATGAAAGTAAGAACGTTTCCACACACACAATGTGAAGAACTCAAGGGACTGGGACTGAACAGCTGGGTAGACTTAAGAAAACCACTAACCAGTGAGGCTAACTGGAAAAAATGCTTCAGTTTTGTTAGGGAGCATAAAGATTGGACTGTGGAGCAATGGAAGAAGGTCATGAGGTCTGAGTCCAGACTGACCCTGTTCCAGAGTGATGGTGCATCAGGGTCAGAAGAGAGGCAGGTGAAGTGATGCACCATCATGACCAGTGTCTCGTCAATGGAAGATCTTGGTGAAACATTAATGCAACACTGGAAATAGATCTTGACATTGAAGAAGCTTATTGAAACAATGACACAGAGAATGCACGATGTGATCAAAGATAAAGGAGGTCCAACTAAATATTAGTGAGACTTTTTTTGGTGGCAACTTTTTTTTTTTTTTTTTGGCCAGGCAGTGTAGATGGGTTCAGTCTTGTTTTCTTAGTTTTATGATGATTAAAAACCTAATGGACAAGTTCTGACCCCGATGGATAAAAACCCAAAGTCATTCTTATTCTTTCCAGGTAACATTTATTAACCCAGTCATCGAGCGTCCATCTAAACTCCAGAGACAGAGGAGGATTTTCCCCAAAGAGAAAGGTACCAAGAGTTGAGTTCAATGATGAAGTATTGTTTTTACTGGTTGTTATGGTGATTCCTCTACATCTCAAAGCACATATTCTGAAAGTAAATTTTTTTTATAATGGTTTGTTTTATTTGAGGGCCTCTCCATCCAGGAGAATATTTTCTCATTTCTCTTTTTGTTCTCTCAGGGAAGAACTTCTTGCGAGCCGCTCAGATGAACATGAATTTCACCACATGGGGTCGTCTAATGATGAGCATCCTTCCTCCTCCCTGCAGCTCCTTGGAGCCCATCAGTCCTCCATTACCAGATCCAAACTCCAGTGTGGCATCTTTCAGAGGCTCTCCTGCACGGTGAGGATCTGGTGGTTCTGAAGTCTTTATTCAGCAGGGTATAAACTAAACTCTGCTCCAAGCTTCAACTGAAGGACTGAATCGGGTCCCTGCTTTTGGTGACTCAGCACAGCTTGTTGTTTTTAACTGATTTTTTTTTTTTCAGAACACACACACACACAACAAAATCCTCTCCCATACAAGATCAGCTACACAGACATGAATACATGGGGCGGCTGTGGCTGAGTGGTTAGAGCAGTCTTCTGCCAATGCAAGAGTTGGGGGTTCAAATCCACCAGCAGTCACATGCCGAAGTGTCCCTGGGCAAGACACTGAACCCCTCATTGCCTCTGATGTGTGTCCCATCAATGTCTGAATGTGATAAAGCTCTGATTAGTCTCTTTACAATGATTTGTTCAATTAGCTTTGTAGATCTAGTATAGAGCTGTATGAATGGGTAAATGAGGACACAGATTGTTGTAAAGAGCTTTGAGTATTTCGAGAAGACAGAAAGGTGCTGTATAAGTACAGTCCATTTACCATTTAGATTAGACGGGCACTGACACACTTCCAATATAAGGCACACAAGGCTGCCAAATGTTCCAAAATTCTCTCAACAGAGCCTTTCAGAGTATATCTAACATTTTCCAGATGAATGACATATAACTTCTTTTATCCAGTGTTTGTATACCAGGCGATGTGGATCCTTGCATCTGCAGAAAATAAGTCTCCTGGCTAGAAGAGAGGCAAAAGCAATCATATTCCCCTCGTACTTGCTGAAGGACGTATCCACAAGGACCACCACAAACAATGACATAAATGATGATGGATACACAGTTTGTCCACATACAGTGCCTTGCGAAAGTATTCGGCCCCCTTGTGTTAATACTTTGTAGCGCCGCCTTTTGCTGCAGTTCCAGCTGCAAGTCTCTTGGGGTTTGTCTCCATCAGTTTTACACATGGAGACACTGAAGTTCTGCCCATTCTTCCTGCAAAACAGCTCGAGCTCAGTGAGGTTGGATGGAGAGCGTTTGTGAACAGCAGTCTTCAGCTCTTTCCACTGATTCTCGATTGGATTCAGGTCTGGACTTTGACTTGGCCATTCCAACACCTGGATACGTTTATTTGTGAACCATTCCATTGTAGATGTGTCTTTATGTTTTGGATCATTGTCTTGTTGGAAGATAAATCTCCGTCCCAGTCTCAGGTCTCTTGCAGACTCAAACTGGTTTTCTTCCAGAATGGTCCTGTATTTGGCCCCATCCATCTTTCCATCAATTCTGACCATCTTCCCTGTCCCTGCTGATGAAAAGCAGGCCCAGACCATGATGCTGCCACCACCATGTTTGACAGTGGGGATGGTGTGTTCAGGGCGATGAGCTGTGTTGCTTTTACTCCAAACATATCGTTTTGCATTGTGGCCAAACAGTTGGATTTTGGTTTCATGTGACCAAAGCACCTTCTTCCACATGTTTGGTGTCTCCCAGGTGCTTGTGACAAACTTTAAACACTTTTTATGGATATCTTTGAGAAATGGCTTTCTTCTTGCCACTTCCATAAAGGCCAGATTTGTTCAGTGTACGACTGATTGTTGTCCTATGGACAGACTCTCCCACCTCAGCTGTAGATCTCTGCAGTTCATCCAGAGTGATCATGGGCCTCTTGGCTGCATCTCTGATCAGTCTTCTCCTTGTTCCAGATGAAAGTTTAGAGGGACGGCCGGGTCTTGGTAGATTTGCAGTGGTCTGATACTCCTTCCATTTCAATATGATTGCTTGCACAGTGCTCCTTGGGATGTTTAAAGCTTGGGAAATATTTTTGTATCCAAATCCGGCTTTAAGCTTCTCCACAACAGTATCTCGGACCTGCCTGGTGTGTTCCTTGGTCTTCATGATGCTCTCTGTGCTTTGAACAGAACCCTGAGCCTATCACAGAGCAGGTGCATTTATACGGAGACTTGATTACACACAGGTGGATTCTATTTATCATCATCAGTCATTTGGGACAACATTGGATCATTCATAGATCCTCACTGAACTTCTGGAGTGAGTTTGCTGCTCTGAAAGTAAAGGGGCCCAATAATATTGCACGCCCCACTTTTCAGTTTTTTATTTGTTAAAAAAGTTTGACACATCCAATAAATTTCATTCCACTTCATGATTGTGTCCCACTTGTTGTTGATTCTTCACAAACAATTTAAATTTTATATCTTTGTTTGAAACCTGAAATGTGGCAAAAGATTGAAAAGTTCAGGGGGGCCAAATATTTTTGCAAGGCACTGTATCCCAGAGAAAGTATCAAAAATAGATTGTCAGTAGGTCCGCAGTTTTAGACAAGTCCAGAATGTGTGTAAGAGTGTAGTTGGAGTTTGTTTACAGCAGTTACGTGCAGGTCATCTTTAATCTTGGACAGCTTGTCTTTTTTTCATTCAACCTTTATTTAGACAGATAAATCACATTGAGTCTTGAAGAATTTACAGACAAGAAGTAGTGAAACTGGAACACATAGGAATTGGAGGCAAAAAAAAATTCCCATTAATTATTATATATTATTTCTTCTTGACTGAGAAGAAAAACTCTTAATATAAAAAAACTCACCTCACACATAAAGCACATAGTGACGTAGACATTCCACAGAGGAGGGGGAGAGACGACGAGAGCGGTGAGCAATGTTCAAAGATGCACTCAAGGACACTGCAAGAGTTCTGATAAGGATGGAATAATCAACCAGTTCCCTCCGGTGAGATCTGTAAACATTTTCGAGGGATGTCGGAGAATGGCCAAGGACAACGCCTAAGGGAATCCAAGAGTCCGGAAATGATGACACAATGTTTATTCAACTGGTTTCCTCTGGTTATCAGTTGGAAATTCCTTGATGGTAGAGGGAGGAGCGGGGGAGAGCATCAGCTTTCATGTTCTCCAGGCAAATTCAGATAAGGTGGCCTTCAAGGTCAGCCAGGGGAGCCAAATTCAGATAAACACACAGTTGTTTTGGGGACAGGCAGAACTTAATGACGTCTACCTTGAGTCTGTGTTGGTTCACTCGGATTCTGAAATGTCCAAATTACGTGGCCACACCAAAAGAATGTACCTGAGTAAAATCCCGAAATCTGATCCATTCTGCCAAAAGCATTTGAGTCTGGGTACTCGAGGCACGAACCAAGCCATCGTAAGGCAAGCAGCATGATTGGATCCAAATTTGCTGCCGACGACTTCCTTGTTTGTAGATAAACCAGTGACCAGCCAAATCCAAAAAGCACGAACCAGTTATCATAAATCCAATTATAAATGCATCCTTAAAATCCACAAATGGCAGCAGAGATGGACACGTCAACAAGTCTTCCAAGTCGATGAGATATCCAGCTGCGTGCGTGCCAACTGGGCAAATTGGCTTACCTAAAGCCTGTCTTCTCTATGAAGAAATGTTATCAATTGTGTTGAGGGACCAACTGATCAAATCAAGTCCATATTTATGGTTCGGAAGATATGTAGAGAGAGGCTCAAAAACAGTTTCACAGACAGACAGAGCAGCAAAGCAAAGTATAGAGGGACGGGAAAAAGCATCCGACCTCGGCAAGAGCGAGTGGTGACGTCTTTGGACCAGTGCACCAAAGTGCACCACCTTGAATTGAATTACAGCATGTCTCAGACAGATTGAGGATTAATGTTCTGAATGATCTTTCTCCAGACTGAGTCTGAATGAGTCCAAGCTAGTCTCATGGTATGAAGTGGGCAGTGTATAGGTCTTGCTGAGGGATCTCTTAGTATCAGACCTGCATTCCAAAATCTTAACCACAAAATGTTTAGAGGGGTACAGAGGAAAATAATCAGAGTTAGACCTCAAAATGCATCAGTTGCAGGAATCTGAAGAACTATGACTTGTGGATATTAAACTTCTGTACTAGCTGCTCAAATGAAGCAAACTTATCATCAACAAAGAGGTCATATAGTGAATTCACTCCCTTCAAGTCCCAGGCGTCAAAAACTGTATCAGCTACTGAGGGAGTAAACAAGTGATTGTTTGACACAGGTGCCACAAACAGTAACTCTGTAGAGTTAAATGTCCTCCTGAACTGATTCCAGATCTCAACTGTCCAGATCACAATTGGGCTACAAGTATAAGTTGATATTGGCTGTTTAAAAGGCAACTGAGAGCAGAGTAATGCAGAGTCTGGATCTAATTGAGGCTCTCCAAAGCCACCCAACTGGGAGTAGGAGTATCCTTACCCAACCAGAATAATAGAACTCTGATATGAGCTGTCCAGTAATAGTGCATGCAATTAGGAAGTGACATTCCTACAAGACTACGGGGCAGATGCAAGATCTTCCTGGCAATCTGTGGATGCTTTTTATTACTGTACAAATAAACATTGATAGCTGGCTGTTCCGGTTAGAAAAGTATGATTTAGTACAAAAAATTGGCAGGTTCTGAAACAAATACTAATTCAATTCAAATTAAAAAATACTTTATTAATCCCAGCGTGAAATTAAATGTTGTAACTCATCATACTGGTTTCATTAAAGAGTTGTTCTAAATGCTGATGGCTGTGGGCAGGAAGGATCTCTTGTAGCAGTCTGTCTTACAGCAGATCTGAAGAAGCCTCTTGACTGAAGACACTCTGTTGTTGTATGACAGTCGGATGAAGAGGATGCTGAGGGTTGTCTATAATGTTCTTCATTTGATGAAGAATCCTTCTTTGTACAATCATCTCCAAAGGTTCTAGAGGAGTCTCAAGAACTGAGCCAGCCTTCTTTATGAGCTTGTTGATCTTTTTTAAGTCTCTTGCTCTGGTGCTGCTCCCCCAACAGCTGATGGCAGAAGAGACAGCGCTCTCTACAACAGACTTATAGAAGATATGCAGCATCTTGCTGCAAACACTGAAGGACCTCAGCTTCCTCAAGAAGTACAGTCTGCTCTGTCCCTTCTTGTAGACGGCTTCACTGTTGCATTTCCAGTCCAGTCTGTTGTCCAGGTGAACCCCAAGGTATTTATACTTCTCCACCACCTCCACTTCTTCTCCC